AAACACGAGTAAACATAGAATTGCAGTGAAAGGCAGTGCTTAAGATAGTACCGTATTTTTCGCTCCATAAGACGCACCTCTCCATAAGACGCACCAAATTTTTAGGAGAAGAAAACAGGAAAAAATAATCTGTTTTCTTCGCTCCATAAGACGCACCTCTCCATAAGACGCACCAAATTTTTAGGAGAAGAAAACAGGAAAAAATAATCTGTTTTCTTCGCTCCATAAGACGCACAGACTTTGCACCCCCCTGTTTTGTGGAAAAAAAGTGTGTCTTACAGTACGAAAAATACGGTAAGTATTGTCAGGTAAGATGAGAGGTTACTGTACATTGCAATGCTTAGATTTCTTTTCTGAGAAACAGAGCAGCTGGTGCCTCAGACAAAGCTGATGAAATTTACTCCTGGCCAGAGGCCTATCTTGGTTATCCAGGCGGAAGCCCTATTCCAGCATTGCTCCCGAAACATGTAATTGCTATACAGTATTTGCATTATTAATCTTTTTTTATTTTACTGTTTTGTACTTTCATTGTATTTTATTGTCAGATTTAATTGCCATTAGTAAACACGAGTAAACATAGAATTGCAGTGAAAGGCAGTGCTTAAGATAGTAAGTATTGTCAGGTAAGATGAGAGGTTACTGTACATTGCAATGCTTAGATTTCTTTTCTGAGAAACAGAGCAGCTGGTGCCTCAGCCAAAGCTGATGAAATTTACTCCTGGCCAGAGGCCTATCTTGGTTATCCAGGCGGAAGCCCTATTCCAGCATTGCTCCCGAAACATGATATTATTTTGAGTGAGCAAGTGACCCTATCCAGAGTAGGCCTTTGTACAGCACTACTCCACCAGAATTAGGGTTGCCCACTATGAACAACTGTGTCCAAACTTCTGCAGGCGTTGGAAACAAGCGGCTTGTGGGTTGCATGTAATTCCTGTTCTTTTTTACAGACCCCAATCCTTCTGAGATCACACAAGGACATGAGAAGGTTTTTGATTAGGAGGATGATAGAAACCTCTTATGTCCTTGTCTAACTGAAACTTCAGAAGGTAAAGATCAGAGAATAAATTCATTTTTAGCACTGTAAAAAACAAAAACCAGAAGCTGGCCATGAAAAGGAAGTTTGAGATAGCAATACTTCCTACAGGACTAGATAACTTGCTGTCTCCCACATTTGCCAAGCATCAGGTGGAATCTGCAATGTGACTTGACCTTGGAGGAATAGCCTACATAACTATATGTGAAGTGGGTAGGACTGTTATAATGTTTGAGTTGGGCTGAGTGTTTCTTGAATAATTTTCTAGAAGGTTCAGACCCTATGAGGAAGAGAACTTTTCTGTGGGGGAAGTGTTGTCCTGCGTGTCTCTGAAGGATACCCTCTGCCTGTGTGGTATGTGGATTATTGAAGACAACATTATAAGCCAATAACTTTTTAACATGTATTATTTAGACTGTATCAAGGCAACAATCTTGAATATGTTTACCAGGGAAAACATCAAGTCTAACACGGTGAGACTTACTTCTGAATAAACATGCATAGTATTGCATTGCATGTGGCTCACGATTATCTTATAAATGAGTTTCCCTTTTCTTTTTTCTTTTATTTTCTGTTTTGTCCAAAGAGTGAGAAGAAATTTTAGCTGACTGAAAATCTGAACTATGCTTTACTTCCCCTTTTGAAACCAACGACAGTAGTTCTTGCTCTTACTCAGCTTATAGGACCTGGACTAGAAATCTGTTTTTGATATTCCATTCTGCAGAAGTGAGGCAAGACCAACTACTAGACAACTGAGACCTATTCAAATACTACCTACTTCCGAAGCTGTCTATCTCCTGAGTCCAAATCATATATTTTAAATAACAGTATTATTAAAGAATGGGAACCATTTCTCTTTGGCCGGATCCCATGTTTCATGAGTTGTACAGGATGAAGAAATCTCATAGTAGGGAAGACAGAACACCTCATGAACAACTGTATCAGCACCACAGATTGCTGGTAGTTGAAGTAAAATGTGGTTACTTATCATGTGGTGATGCATCTGCTCCACATGAACATCATTCAAAGCTTACCTCAGCTGGGGCTGAGTCACCGTGAAAAGGTTTTCCAAAAATGATAACATAAGAGGCAGACTTTGATTAGTCCAGAAAAGAAGAGTACAGGTTTGATTTTACGGTGGTCAAATTTTGCTTTCAAAAGAAAAAGAAAAAAATAAAACTAAAAAATCTGTATCTGTGATACATTATTAGTGTCCAGAGTGTATAGACTAGCTTTTAAATGAATAGCATGGACACAGTGAAAAAACGTGGCGAGTCACATGAAAATACATTTCTCAATGAATGGAAACTGCATATTTGCATCTTGGAAAAACACATACACTTCTAATTTATAAAACCGAGCATTTACAAATAAAGATTTCTGAATGTGTCTATTCAACCAAGTACGTAATTTTTCTGAATGTAAATTGGCTGTAGTATTACTCAATGTTCTAGATATGCCTTTTTAAAGGTTGCACCTACAAACCTGCCAACAGAAAAAGTCTGCATCTGTGGAAAAGCTGCTTTTGTGGCCCAATGGCCTCCACATAGTGAAGCAGTCACATGCATTTCTAGTTTCCCTTGCAGAGATTTTAGCCATTGACAGAAAATGCAAAGAGGCAGAGTGAGAGAGATACAGTATAGTCAGAGTAGAGTAGGGACCCCTTCAGGAGTCCCCCCCCCCAACTTCTTGCCATCTCATTAGCCAATCCTTTCTAAATTAAAATATTCTAATGCTGCTGAGGCACTGCTCCTTCACAATCAATTGGAGAAAAATTAAAATGGTGCATCAACACAACATTTTATGTAACTATCTTGCAATGCAGGTGTCAACCAATAGTCAAGATTCTAAGTCTGTTTACTCAGCAATAACAATATTTTCACCAGATGCTGTTGGTCCTTTCTATACTTAGGACTGCAAAAACAAAATCTTTCCTGCCTTCATTTGAAGTAATTTTTGTTTCTCAGTCATTGGCCATTTGATCTATTTCTTCCAGTTCATTCTGGATATAACACTGTTGAACTATCCTTTTAATTAATAATTTCTTATTGTCTGCCAGTAAGGCCTTTAATTTCAGTTTCATCTTTTCAGTCAAAGCAGGTGTCCACTCACTGGCTTTTTTTTTTACTGTTGCCACTATAACTACACAATATTTGTTCCCATAATAACTGAGTTAAAAAATCATGTTAATTCTGGAGAAAACAGTAAGAGTAGCATCAACTTTTGACAACTAGTCCTTCCCTTGCAGAGATTTTAGCCATTGACAGAAAGTGCAAAGACGCAGAGTGAGAGAGATATAGTCAGAGTAGAGTAGGGACCCCTTCAGGAGTCCACCCCCCAACTTCTTGCCCTCTCATTAGCCAATCCTTTCTAAACTAAAATATTCTAATGCTGCTGAGGCACTGCTCCTTCACAATCAATTGGAGAAAAATTAAAATGGTGCATCAACACAACATTTTATGTAACTATCTTGCAATGCAGGTGTCAACTAACAGTCAAGATTCTAAATCTGTTTACTCAGCAATAACAATATTTTCACTGGATGCTGTTTGTCCTTTCTATACTTAGGACTGCAAAAACAAAATCTTTCCTGCCTTCATTTGAAGTAATTTTTGTTTCTCAGGCATTGGCCATTTGATCTATTTCTTCCAGTTTATTCTGGATATAACACTGTTGAACTATCCTTTTAATTAATAATTTCTTATTGTCTGCCAGTAAGGCCTTTAATTTCAGTTTCATCTTTTCAGTCAAAGCAGGTGTCCACTCACTGGCTTTTTTTTTTACTGTTGCCACTATAACTACACAATATTTGTTCCCATAATAACTGAGTTAAAAAATCATGTTAATTCTGGAGAAAACAGTAAGAGTAGAATCAACTTTTGACAACTAGTCCTTCCCCCCACCAAAGAGATAATTTTCAGCCTGTTATATTAATGTTCCTTTCTGAAATGCTTCAGATATGATGGAATTGTGAGGGAAACAGAAAGGGCAAATATCTTGTGCTTCTCATCCCTATAATTCTCTGCCACACACCTCTGAATTGCTGCTGTTGTACTTTCTCATAAATAGTTGGGCAGAGTTAATTTGGTTTGTATTGTAGCCAAATATGTGAAAAGCACCATAGGATCCTATAGCATACAAGTGTGGGAAGACCCGCATTCTCAAAGAACACCTCTCCCTCCCCCACTCAAAGCCCCACTTCAAAAATGCTACTCCAATAGAATGAAAACTCATTCTTATACCGCTGTTATTTCAAGATTATGTGGATGTTATATTTTGACGTATCCATTCAATGACCAAAATTTGATAAAAGGATGGATATTTTCCCATTTCCACTTTTTGGAGGCATGTTTAATTACATCTTATTTAAAATGAACAGTTCTTTTCAGGAAAAAAAAAGTCTTACATTTCTCACATCCCTAAGCTTTCTGTCCTCTGAATCCTCTCCCTAGAGAACAGATCCTGAGGTTTGTTTGTTTCTCTGTCTCAGATGCAATTACATGGCCTAGGAGAAGACGGAGAAGACTACCTGCTCTATAGGCAAGTAAGTTTTTCCAGAATCACCCTTTTGCCAGCTTTTGTTGCAAGGTCAGGACACATCAGCTTGGTCCCAGTTCAATGCTCAAACTATAAAGTGATGTTAGGATTGAGGTAGGAATGATTTTGCAGTTCTTAGCATTGAATAAAGGATGAATTTGCTTCAGGAGCAGAAGAGGCTGCTTTGCTATACAGACATCTGGAGAAGGTAGACCATCACTAAAGACTTTCTAGACCAGCAGGGCTGTATCAGGAAAACCCTCCCTGACCTAAAACTAATCTAACATGCAAAGATATCTGCAAGTCCTAGTCCACAAAGGGAGCTTGGAAGTAGCAGAAGGAAGCATAAAGAATGGGCACGAGGAGGACAGAACAAGTGGAAAAAAGGAAAGGAAAGAAAAAGGGAGGATGAACCCCTCCCTCCCCCTACCTTCATCACGTTTCCTCTTCTCACCATTCGACCGAGGAATCCCCAGAATCCCGTTAATGGAGTAGGAGCCCACTGGATCATTGGAGGCACTGGAGACAGGAGGGGATGCTGTACTGGGAACTGGACAAAATGAAAAGGGAGAAAGGCCCATGAGCCAACAGGTAGAAAGCTGCAACCCTCAACTTCTCCAGAGATGGAAAGAGTTCTTGGAAAGAGTTGATGACCGAGTCACTGCTAAGGCTGGGTCCTCAAATGACTTCCTAACACTGTCTCCAAGTCCTTTCCAAAAGTGAATAACAAAAATGTGTTTCACAGCCTATCAGAGGATTCTCAAGGCTAAAAAGAATAGTTCTCCATTATAGAGTGGAAGATTCTGTGACTGAAAGCTAGGCAATCTGGTTCTGCAATCCCAATTTCCATGAATTTAGTTTTGTTCATCTTTTGGTTTATTTGTGTTATAAGGTTGCATTTTGCCTGTAAGCATGTAAGAGAAAGAGGCACCACAAAAAAATTAATGTTTTAAGCTCATGAGAGGTGGGGCGAGCATTCTGCCTCACTAAAGGAAGTATCTTTCATAACTGATAAGCCTACAAACCTACAACTGTACAACAGTGGATGTTATTTACAATTAGTACTTAAATTACTGGTGGTAAGACAGCATCCCCATAGCTTTTATGATAGCCCTCTTAGATAATTGTTTCTACAGGTTGTGTGATTTTTATTAAACTTTGTGGGACCTGGGAGGATGCTCATATTTGTAAAGGTGCCTTTACCTCCTCCCCACCCTATCCTAAGGAGAGAGTTATTTACAACTCACTGTGTCCTTCTCCCCTTCTAAAAAGTGGTATCACTAATACTATTAGATATTAGAGCTGTAATGAATTATATGCCCACTTAGTTGTCAGTTGAAGGTGGAACAACACATTATCTAAGCGAAGTGTGTTTGCAAAAATAAGGTAAATTAATGGCCAGGTATTTAGGTTTGTCATAGGATAATTATTGGTCTATTTTATTTCAACCAGGTTTCAATAATAATAATAATAATAATAATAATAATAATAATAATAATAATAATAATAATAATAATAATAATAATAATAATAAAGTATCTGTTATATAATGTCAGTCAATATTTTCATAATTGTGATGGACTGTGTCTGGGATTCTTAAATAATAATAAAACACTGGAATTCCGGGGAATGCCAGAGTGGAAAATAAAGAACTGAAAAAATTAACAAAATGCAGAGATCTGGCAATCAAAACATCTCACTTATGGATGAAATACATTTTAGTGGCCACATAGTCATCAAGGCTTTGGCAACAATATCAATAAATTTCACACAGTATTATAAGCAGTTGCAAATCTCAGAAATAACACTATCATAGCTACAAAAATGGCAATATTAGGAATAGGTACTTAGGTTTTTGGTTAAAACTTGTATCTG